AAGGAGGTTCAAGCTGGAGTGTGGGCCCCTGGACACTCTACCACCTTGGGATACCACCTTCTCTATCCTTCCAGGCCAAGCAAATGGGTAGACGTTCATGTTTATGTTCCCATGTGTTGTAGGCTATGTCTGTCTCTGCAGACTGTGGAGGAGGAACCCATGTGTGAAAGAAGCAGAGAACTGCTGAGAAGCCAGGCAAGGGCTCAGGGAAGATGTTGAGAGGATCACAGTTTTTGAGATCCCAGACCCTCGAGGGCCTACAGAGTTGATGCTACAAACTGCTAGGGTGACCTCCTTTAGTCTGCAATGTCTCTGTGGCACTGGGCCATGGAAATCGAGGGTGGAGATAGTTCTTGGCGTGGTACATCATGGTCTGGTACATCTCATAATTCCTCTCAGAGGTCTCCTTGAGTATGCTGCCTGTCATAGACAAGGATGTCCTCGGGTTCCCCATCTGCATGGCTTGCCTCTGACTTGCTTCCCCCAAAGTGCGGCTGGATTTGCTCAGTGCCATCTGCACAATCTCACTGGCCACCCGCCCGCCATCTGTTTACAGGCTGTCAGACAGCTGGCTGGGGTGAGGGGGACACTATGTGACCATCCAATGTACAATGTTGACTTCCTCTCATGAGAAGGACCTTGGGGCCTTAACCTCACTTGCCCCAGGATCCCAGTCAAACAGATGGACCCCAGGTCAGTGTTTACCATGAGCTTGGCCTGTAGGGACAGCAATGATGACAATAAGGTGGTGATTTATTGAGGGCTTGTTCGGTACCAGGGGCTGTGCTGATGTTTCAGTTAATCCTCCTAGCAACCCTTCAAGGGATGGCATTACAGATGAGGAAGCTGAGGCTCAGAGAAGTGTAAGTTGGGCCACAGCCAAGGATTAAAACTGGGACTTAGGCCCCCATCTATCTGATGCCAGCAGCATAGGATCATGTAAGCAGGAAAGAATCCCCTTCTTTCAGAGTTTGAGGCCCTTCAGGGTCATGGACTGATCTTTCCTGGCCACAGGCTGGGCCTGCCCTCACACTCCAGCACTGCCATGGCTGTCTGTGAGCCATTCCAAGGCAAGCTCTGACCTCCAAGCCTTCGTCTCTGTGGTTTTCCCCACCCAGCTCTGGGAATCTCTCACGGGAATGTTGTCTGGTTCGCAAAGTCAGCAGTGCCCATCATTCTCAGGGCCGAGAACTGCAGATTCAATGATGGTGCTGTTTTTTTTCTAAATTTTCACCAGTTTATTGCTACTTGCTCACATTCTTGTTTTACCGTACTACTCCATGACTAGCCTCCCTCCTCACTCAAGCTTAATGGTTGCTCTGGGTCTGCAGCTCCTTACAAAGTTTCTTTTGGATGACACTTTTTAATGTGTGTGTGTGTGTGTGTGTGTGTGTGTGTGTGTGTGTGTATGTATGTGTGTGTGTGTAGTGCTGGGTATAGAATCAGGTCCTCAAAATGCTAGTCAAGTACTCTGTTGCTGAGCTATATCCCAGTGGAACACTTTTATCCTAAAAATATCTGCTCATTGTGAAAGATTTGCAGTGTATGAAGCAGAGACATCCTCCCCCCTCACATCCATCCTCCACCTCATCCTAACCCTTAATAGATTAGTACCTATTAATCTTTTCCTAAAGCATGCATTGGTGTTTATTTCTGGGAAAATTATGATTGATTTTCAGATCCAAGGATTGCAGAGGTAAATGTGCTGGCATCAGAAAGATGGGGGCCTAATTCCCAGTTCTGTGGTGGCATGTGGAAAACACCAGTGAGCTTCTGTGACATGGGTGACCTATCCTGAGTGGCAGTCCTTCCTGTGCTCAGCAAGACTGCCTGGTTCCTGGTTGTGGGTGTGGTCCATATTCCATTGCATCTGTGTCCCATTGATGGACACATCGGTCTTGTAGATAGCATCAAATGATGCTGTGGTAGCCACTCATCTGTCCATATATGCCTCTTTGCCTTGGTAGAGGAAGTTCCAGATGTGGGACTGCTAGAAGGATGTGTGAGCAGACTTGGAATTCACATGATTCAATAACTGATACTGCAGAAGTGATTCTCCCCAGGGAAACTTGTGGGAGCAGCAGCCCCCACTTCTTTGTCCTCTTAGCTGAAGAAGGCTAGTCTGGCAGTAAGGGCTTGGCAGGAGTTAAGCCTATCCTGCCTTCCTGGAACTGAGGCCTCATCATGGACTTCCTCTTCTTATTCGAAGTGGCAGTAATGGGACTTGCCCACCATCACCTCCCCTGCCCACTACAGCCATCTTTCTTCCAAGGAACCTGGGGGTTGGTAGAAGAATGTTGCAACCAAATACCAGAGAGATTTTTGGAGAAGTGTGGTCCAAGAGAAAAGCCTGGAAGCAATTACTATTTCAACCTTCCCGGGGATTCAGCGTGAGCAAGTAAATGTTTAACGAGTACTCATGTGGTGCTCAGTTCATGCTGCCACTGGGAAACATGAATGAATGAGATGCTGCCCCTGAGCCAAGATCAAGTGCTGGTGGGGGTTGGAACAGAACAGGGGACTAATATAGTCATTCCTAAGGCTGTCTAGTGGCCTGTGACATCAGAATCATTGAGGGGATTTTCAGAATCCAGGTCCCTGGCCCCACTCTGATGGCAAATATGATTACCAGTGTATCTTAGAGTCTAGAGAATTTAAAGTTGCTTAGACAAATTGACTCAGCCTGGATTGTGAGCTGCCATTGCAGTACGTGTCTACAACATGGTTTCTTATGTAAAGTACAGGCAATGAACTTGAAAGGCATAAAAGCTGAACCTGGCATTTTGCGTGGTCTATATTTTGGGCTTGTTCACTAAAACAATTTTTATCAGTTTCTAGCTTCTGAAAATTAAGAGAGCTCTTATGAAAATCAACTTCATCTTTGCTATGCTTCAAATATCCCTACCCACACATGGTAAAATTTAATGTCCATTATGAAGTATTAAGAGATGGACACTTGGAGATGGAACTTTGGAGGGGTGATTAAGGTTAAATAAGGTCATAAAGGTGGGGCCTTAATCTAATGGAATGGCAGCTTTCTTTTTAAAATTCATTTTAATGAGAAAAAAAGATAAAATAGCAATGAAACATTTTCAAAATAGGTTAGTAGGGCAGTTACAAAATTAATATATTGCATATTGTTGTCTTCATAGTAGCTATTCAGCGGACAAGATGAAGACATGATTTTTGTCTGAACAATATTAGTACAAAACTTTCTTCTCAATGAACTAAGAGAAAGCAGCTGTACATCTATCCTAAATATAGTTTCTTTTTTCTTCCACAACAAAATGGTCCTTTACACTTTTGCAAAGTTAGTAACACGTGACACAAGGTTGCCTAGCAGCTAATAGCTGACCATATCCAGACAGGATGTTTATCTCAGGACCAAGGTAGCTTGTTTGCTTTAGACACTGAGGTCTAGTCCCACCTACACACATTTGATCGATTTCCTGATTTCATGGCTCCCAACATATCCCTCTTTCTT